TATGGAATGGAAGGTCAGAACAGAGGAGGGAGTATGGGGAGGGCTAAGTAACAGTAAGGCCTTTAGAAAAATCCATATGGAAAACTACCACTGTAGAAAATTCTTAAAAGTGTATACATAAATAATAATAAAAAGAGACTGAATGCAGTTATTTTATAATAAGGGGACACTGTCCTTTCTAGACATCACAAGCTAATGGGAAAAAAAGTCTCCATGTCAGGAATGGTCTCCATCTCCAGAAGCTGTTAACAGAGGAGTCCCATAGACCCTCAAATAATACTGGCCATTGCCCCTGCTCTTGGTTACCCACCAGAACTCGTTGATGAGATCTATTTCTGAAGACACTACATACATGAGCTGAGGAACAAACAAGGAGAAATCGAGCTGGTGCTAAATTCAGAGCCTCATCTCTATTAGGTAGTGTTCATAGTGCTGGAAGTTGCTATGTAAGCTACCAGAAGGAAAAAGAAATCATCATCCTTACCCAGCTGTGAGGCTTGTGAACTACAATAATACCTGGCCTGGTAAGCAATGCCCACCAGTGTAATAGTAGCACAAATATTACAGGAGTAACCAAGTACTATTTAATTGGGTTTAAGGTCTGCTTCCTATGAGCTGACATTGGTATCAGGCTTAGGACACTAATATTAGGGGAGAACCTAATACTAGTTTTCTACTAAATAGTTGTCATATTAAACTGACTCTTAATGACTTATTGTCATATCCATAGATTAATGAATCTCTCAACTCTCACCAGAGAATTTTCTTTATGCAACAGATTGTGATTAACACAGAAACCCACAACTGGCCAGTATGTAGAGAACAAGAGGCTGTAGAGCATTTATCCCTGAATAGCCCATCTATATCAAACTTCTGTCCCTAAGGCTCAGGGATCATTGTGGAAGATGGGGCAGAAAGAGTCAGAGGTGGTGGATGACCACAAGAAAACAGAGCTTCTCAAACCACCGGGAAATTACTCATATAAACTCACAGCAATGGTAACAACATGCACGAGTTCCATTCAGGTTCAAACCAGAAGGTATCCCAGCATATACATAAGGAAGGAAGGAAGGAAGAACCTCTAATACTACCTAAAGAAAACTGTGGCAATAGATTGCTGCTGGGAGGGGCAAGGACACCCCTAACCACTCATCAAAGAAGCATTTTTTCTCAACAGATGGAGACTATTACAATGTTCTACAACTGGTCAAATGCAGAAAATAAGTGTGAGATGCTCTGCTCTAAGTGACACATCTACAATGGAACCTCTACACCTAAGGCTCAGGCTCAGGGAACATTAATGGAACAGGGGAAGGAGAACATCAATGCATCTCTCAACTCTACCAGCAAATCTTCCTCACGCAACCGATGGTGATTAACACAGAATGCCACAACTGGCCAATATATGGAGACTAAGAAACCATAGAGTATGTGTCCCTGGATAAGACTTTTATATTAAACCTCTGCCACCCAGGGCTTAGGGACCATCACAGAAGAGGAGGCAGAAAGATTGTAAGAGCCAGGAGAGGTCTATGACCATAAGGAAACAGAGTTTTCCAGGTGGCTGGGAACTTGCTCTCATATGAACTGACAGCAATGGTGATGGCATGCACAAGACCCATGCAAACTCCACCTAGACAAAAACCCAGCATAGAAGTGGGGAAGTAGATAGGAAACCCCAGTACGAACTGAGGAACTACTGGCAACCAATAGGTACTTGGAGGGGGACAGTCAGTTTTCTTGAAGGGTGTTGCTCTGGGTAGGTTAACCAGGCTCCAGTGGAAGGACCCATATTGAAGGGTACTCAGGGACACAAGTTTGACACGCAAAATGACTTAAATATGCACACGTGTGTGTATATATATATATATATATATGTATATATAAT